CCCTGAAATATGACATAAACGCACAACCTAGCGTGAAATCGGCTCAAAACACGAGAATCAACGTCTCAAACGGCTCAAGAATAGGGGTAAAAACATGTGTAATTAATGATCTATCAGATACACATGTCGTGGCTTTGCTCAAGAGTTTCCAGAAATTCTCCATGTCTCAGGATGGAGGGGCTGGGGCGGCCTCGTACATTTTTACTAGACTTAGTTTTTCTATAGCTAAGGGAGTGGGGCCCCAGATTGTATCTCGGGTACCCACTAATTTTTTATAAACCTTTGTTTGTTCTGCTTCCACTCATAATAATAATAATAATAAAAGAATAATAATAATAAATCTTTCATCAATCCACCCCCTTAAAGCAACCTCATCCTCGAGGTTGGAGAACAACTAGGAAGATGTTTAGGCGATGGTAGACGATGGCGATAAGTAGGACACTTGACGTGGCGCTGAGGGCGGTAGAGGAAGACGTGGGACCATAGAGAGGTTCCTCCTTCTTGAAGGTCTTCGATGTTCGCTCTTCGTATGGTGGAGGTGACATAAGTAGTAATGGCAGAACTAGCATTAGCTTCTCGTGTGGTTTTCCGACCTCCACGGCGCACATCAGAACTCTTATGGGAAGCTTCATCGATGATAGCTTCCAAGCTAGGGCTGCCTTGGTGGAGACGATCGCGATCTCCTCGGCTACGGCAGTCAGGGTCACGATGGTGATTGGTGGTGGTGCGATGGATGGTTGAATGCGAGCTACGGTTAGCTCAATGGATGATGATGCTGAAGGAACTAAGATTAGCTCCTCGTCGGCATCGGTTGATGATGATAGAGCTACGGTTAGCTCCTTTGTTGGCGGCGCCTTGGTAGGCGAACCATCCCTTATAAAAACCACGTACCTAATAGTTAGGGCTTCGTCATTCGTGATCGTTGCGGTATTGTCACACTATTTGTCGGTCAAAGGGTTTCCGACGTCGTCTTTGCCTTCGTCGGTCGAAGGTTTCTTGTCATGTTGACGGAAGGTGGTTGCGTATCCACCTTGTCACAGGGTGGCGTGATGGTAGTGGTAGTTGCTCGTGGGACCTCTTACCAATGTTGGTGGTCCAACGTTGGTTATGTCTGCCCTGGGAGCTTGTTGTTTAGAACTCAGTTTCGTCAAACCTGTCTCTGATACCAATTGATGCATTGACGGTTCAAGAATCGCGTAAATTGTACGAACTAGAAACTAGAGAGAGATTATGGGTTCTTCTTCTTCATTGATTGCTTATAACGTAGAGAAAAGTACACACATATATATATATAGAAAACACTCAAAACCCTAAAACTAGTACTAATCTACTTGACCCATTACTTGACCGCCACCCTCACTATACTCCTAATTCCACTCGGCCTCTATCACTGTTAGACCCAAACTAAACATAAACTACCCAAAACTAGTGATGGAAGTGGGGCGAGATGGGGCGGGTACCTCAATACCCATACTAGTTGAACAAAAGTCCAAATAGGAGAATGAGTAAATGAGTCTAACAAGTAAATGAGTGAAAAGTAGTGATAATAGAATGAGTAAATGAGTCTAACAAGTTGAAAGATCGACTCTAACTAGTTGAAGAAAAGTCCAAATATGAGAAATATGTATAGATACTATAAGAAATTGAGATGAAATGGGCCAAGAATGGGGCAGGGCAGAGCGGGTTGGAAGTAGATACCAATGTCTACCCCACGCTACTGTTGATCGGGTAATACCTACCCCATCGCAGGTCAATTTGGATAATACCCGCGGGGTTCAAATTATCATCACTACACAAAACCCACAAAATAATCCCTCCCTAACAGCCGAACACCATAAATAATAATAATAATAATATAATAATAGGTGGCTACTTCGGTGCACTCACTTTTTTGGATGCATTCAGAGCACCCACCTCTAAAAGTGGTCATAGTACATCAAATTTTGAAATTTAATGGGTTGCATTAGTCTAATATGACGATATAACATAAAATCACAACTAATCAACCGATTACCCTAACCTATTAACCTTCAATTTTGAATCTCAACCCAAAATCCCAAATTGTAAACCCTAACCCTAACCCTAAATTCCTAAACCTTCAATCATTCAAATTAAAGTGAATCTTGAATGATTTTTGTACAAATTCATGTGGTTCTTGTTCATCATACCACAAGTGATGATTGACATCGTTTTCACATGAATCTCCTGCTCGGAATGAAGATTATGAGGCGGGTGCATTGAATGCACCCAAAAAAGTGAGTGCACCGAATACATAACCTATAATAATAATAACAATAATAATAATTAATCTTCCATCAAACTTTAACTGCCAAGTGCCAAATCCAGGATAGTGTCCACTGACGTATGAGATAAGGGAATAGCAATCCAGTAAATCTCGTACTGGTCCTAGAGGTTGTTAGCTGTCAAAACCGAACCCCACTAACCCTCTTGATCAACCCAACCTACAACCCGAATTGACTAAAAGTCAACAACCTGTAATTCACCCGGTCCGCAACCCGGTTGACTCACAACTTGATTAAACTTGTGACACGATTAAATCAAACAAGATTGACCCAAATTCGACTTTCCGGTGAGCCGATCGACTCAACCCATTCCACCTGAATAATTATTAGATTATTTAATACATGATATTTCAAAATGAATTTTTTCATTCTAAACGCAAGTAAAATCAATTTTCATGTTGCATAGATAATTTAAAAAATATAAAACTCACTTGAAATATATTTTTTAAACATTACGAAAATTAAAACATGAAAATCACTTGACCGCTAACTTCTTTAACAAAATTTAAAAAAATGAATATAAAATATAAAATCAGCAATGTCAATATTGATAATGGATACTTAATGATTGAAACAATTATATAAATTAAAATTTTAATTAATTTAACTATTCAACAAATTTATCAATTAAATATAAATACAGTATAGTAATGTATTTGAGAATTTGATTATTTTAAAAGAAAAAGGAAATTGTGATGTTTTCAAATTTTTGGGACGACAAAGAAGAGGAAAATATGATGTTTTCAATTTTTGAGAAAAGAAAAGAAGGAAGAATTTGGTATTTTTTATTTATGGGAAGAGAAAGAAATGAGAATGTTTTTTTCTTTTGGTTTATTGAAAGAGAAATAAGAGAAAAAATTTATGTCTTCAACTTTTTGAGGGCGGAAGAAAAGAATTTTGATTCTTTCAATGTTATGGAAGATAAAAATGTGGTAAACTTTAGTACTTCTAATTTATGGAAGGAGATATGAGGAGAATTTTAGCATTGTCATGTTTTTGGTTAAAAAAAAACAAATTTGGTATTTTAATATATTAGTCTTTTAAATATGAATTTTAATTTTTATATAGAGTGCATGACTAATTAACTATATCATAGTCTTATATGGAGTGACTATTTCACTATATTAAAATTGAGAACCTATTATGAGTTATCTCATCTTCAATATAATATCACTCGAACTATCTTATATGCATATTATTTTACATCATAAATCATATACTTAATTAATTGTTAATTTAATTATCACAATGTTTTTTACGTATGAAATATGACAATTTAGGAGTCTAACATCTGGTGACGAAGATATTGTGTATTGTAAACCTTATTATAGTCTTATAACGACATATGACTAATTGAATATTGTAGATTTGGGAACGTATCATGAGTTAAGAGTTTAGCATTTAGTAGCTAAGACATTGTCTATAGGAGAACCTATCATGAGTCATCTTATCATAATAAACCAATTGCTTCTATTATAGTACACATAAGTCATAACCTAACACCCATTATATGAACTAATTTAGAAACTTCTGATAAACAACAACGTACTTATCTAACTATATGAACCAATTTGTTTGACTATTTTTAGGTTAATATAAATAAAGAAGTTTTTTATTGTTCTCGTTGGATGTGAGGTCCTATCACAAGAATATTTTTTATTGGGTCTTTTTAGAAATTTCAAAAATAAAGAAAGTAAATTCCTTTAAGCAGGTGTCTCTCTCTCCTGTCGTGCTTGGACAAGTGGATCAGCAGTCACTTTGCCACTCCTGGTAGTAATGACCTTGCAGTGGTCATTTGGGTCATGCGGATGAGGAATGGTCTGACCGGGTAAAGTCCCACGAGTCCTTTATGCTACAGCCTATGCTACACTACCAAGCCGGGTCTGGATATCCCGCAATACAGCCTGTGTGTTTCTCTGGCCAGCGTCAAGCTCCATGAATTTACCAGAGTCTTTCTCCATGAACTGCTCGATATTACTAAACTTATTAGCACTTGAAGTGGCCTGAGAACCCACCAGATCGCGCAAATCGCCATCGGATCACTCTGTACTGGGATTGTGGGGGCTGCACCTGTCTGCTGAAATCGCCGCATCTGTGACTGAGGAAGAACTGGCCCCTGTATGGGCGGGTAAAGAGGTTGTTGCTGTTGGAATTGCCCTTGTCTGGGCTGGTAAGGAGGCCTCTGAAAACCTGGCGGTCCCTGGGAGGCTGGTGGTCGAGGATTAGGTCCATTCCAGGAGAAGTTTGGATGATGGCACCACCCCTCGTTATAAGTGTTGCTGTAGGGTTGAAACGTCTGGCATTGTCGATTAAGTCCATCTGCTCCTGGGGAGTAGTCGACTCCCTCATCACCTGATAGTCTTCCACAGTGTGATGGGAGCTTTCACACCACTGGCAATGCATTGCCTGCTGCTGTCCTGTCCCTGAAACCATTCCAGAATGATCAGGGGCTAAGACCAGTTTAGATACCACCTGCACCAGCTCAATCGACTGGGTGACCACAACATGCACACCCGACCTGGTGCTCGTCTCGATCTCCTAGAAGTTCCCCAATCATATCCCTGCTCTGCCATCTCTTCAAATAGTCTATTTAGCTGCGGCAGGGTCTTGGTTATCATGTTCCTGCCGCAGACCGAGTCAATCAGCTGCTAATCTTCTGGGAAGAGGGCGTGGTAGAAAGTGCCCACCTTGAAGGCGTCATTGAACCCATGATTGAGACATTTCAGGAAAAAGACTGGTATATCTTTCCCAAGCGTCCCGAATGGTTTCATCCTCCTCCTGCGCAAAATGGGTGATCTGCTTTTGCAGGTCCGCCGTCTTGGACGGAGGATGATAGCGGGTGAGGAACTTGTCCGCCAGGTTGGTGAACGTGGTGATCGATTCTGGAGGCCGAGTGTCCAGCCACTCCTTGGCTTGCACCTCCAAAGTGAATGGGAAGTACCTTAGCTGGATGGCATTGACTGAGACCCCATTTATCTTAATCCCATCGACGAGCTCATGGAATCGCCGCAAATGCGATATGGGGCACTCCCCCTCTTTTCCACGGAATACCACCAAGCCGCGCAACATGGTGATGACAGAGGTGCTCACCTCGAAGTTAATGGCTGGAACTTGAGGGTGCTGGATGGGCGACCTCATGTCCGCAGCTCTGGCAGTCCAGTAATACCCCATGGTGTGCTCATCGGGGACAACCACATCATTGTTTTGAGGCTCACCCATGTCTTCTTCCTGGTTGATCTGCAGCTGTGCTAGAGCCTCTTCCGCAGCCAGTCGTGCCTTTAAAGCACGCTTGAAGTTCCTACAAAACCATTCAAGCTCTAGGTCTAATGGCAGTAAGTCTCCTGACTGGCTATGGGTCATGCACTACCTGCACACAGAATGCAAACACAACCCACGAAGGCACAAAGGTGGAAGAGAGAGAATGCAGTAAAGAAAAAGCTAGAGTAACAAACTTTCACGTTTCCACAATAACCTAGAAGTCCCCGGCAACGGCGCCAAAAACTTGACATGCTAAAACACAACACCAAACTACGACCAAGTGTAATCGCAGTCCGGAAATGCAGAATAATGGCAAGTTCTATTTATCAACCCTGGGTCTAGATCTACTGCCTACTCCGCGATTATCTATTATCTAGCAGAGTAAGTTGAGTGAATGTGATTTTAAGGAAAAGCAGTAAAAAAGCAGGAAATGGTTCGAAGTTCTTAAGCAGGGGAAGAGTCACTCAGGAATGAGTCCCCCTAGCTCCTTAGTTAGGTCAAAGTTGTAATTACCTTTGGTTGATTTACTATTGATTAAACTGCGGAAGATCCGACAGTAGCTTGGAATCTCTTAAGCTGACCAAACCCTCTCAGACAAACTACCCGACAGACGACTAGTCTTCACCGGGATAGAATGTTGAGGCAGTTAACACAGAACTCCACTACTGGAATTGGATTCTATTACAAAGCAGTGAATCTACTAAATCTCGTATAACCAATTCACTACTACCGATTGAGGAAACTCTAACAACCTAATCTGATTCTATCTATCTCGGGTTGCAGCAGAAATCAAGAAAAGTTGATCAGGCTTTAATTGACACAATAAAACATGCCTCAATCGATTATAACCAAGCAGTATATCAATCCAAACGTCATTACAATTCTAACACATGGAACTAGGGTTCTTCATACCCAAGTGAGAGAAAGTTCTACTCCATAGAGAGAGAGGGGAAAATAGAATATAAAGCAGTCATACTCATAACAATGGGAAGAATCTGCTCTGGGATGTCAATCTTCACTCCTCGGGATGCAATATGGGCTTCAATGATGAGAAATCCACTCCAAATAGCTCATAATGTTTGTTCTTCGCACTCTCTCTCTCTCTAAAACTATGTTTTGCTCCAAAAAGTCGACTCCCCTTCCGTTGGCTCGAATCTGCCTCTTTTAGCTCTATTTCTGGGTGAAATACGGGTAGAAATACGGTCGTCATTAGAGAATTACGCCGAGTAATCATGAAAATATGATCGTATTTCAGTCTGTGCTTGCCCGTATTTCTCTCTTCTTCAGATGTCTGAACGAATTTGGCTCGGCATTAAAATACAGGATCAGGAGCAATACAACCATATTTCTTCAGGGGACAACCGTATTTTGCACCTTTAATCGCCAAATGACCTTCAAAGGACCCGAAACTTGCGCCTATGCCTCCTTTTACTCGCTAGGACCTGAGATATGACAAAACAACACAACCTAGCGTAAAATAGGCCAAGGAACCACAAATTCGAGCTAAAATGGTCAGGAAACAAGGGTGCAAACATGTGCAAATACGACGCGACCAGATAGAAACAAATTATCTAAAAATTGCAAAAAAAAAAAAGTTTGAAATAAATGTAACCAAATAAAGTGTAAATTGTAACGGGTAAAGAGTAAGCAACGCAATGCGCTGACCCGAGTAACCCGCAACCCAATCAGTTCGCAACCCACCCGACCTGTAACCCAATCAACCCTGCAACCCGATAAACCTGCAACCAGGCAGACCCATAACCCGATGAACCCATAATCACACTAACCCACAACTCGATTGAAGTCGAACCTGATGAACCCGTAATCCCACTAACCCACAATCCGATTGAACCCGAACCCGAATAACCCGCAACCCAATGAACTTGAATTCCGACTAACTCGTAACCAATTAAACCAAACCCGAACATGCCCGATTGACACCTCTACTCATATTGATGTTTTGTGATTCAGGGGACAATAGGGACGTGGGAGAGATGCAGTTCAAGGTTGCGTTTCACCATTGATGTTCCTAGCAGTACCGAGTTCCATCTGCAGTTGGCTAGAAAGGGTTATCGCTCCCTAATCTACAGGTTCAAAACTTCATTATACTTTCTTCTCAATTTGACATCATCATTGTCATCGTTAATGATACCAATGGAGCCTTTTTTGTTCTGGTTGGAAATAGTGGGGATCATGACTTGATCATACCCTATGTGGGAACCTTGGAGTGGATCCAAAGTCTGAATTTCAGGATAGTCGACGAATGGAGACCGTGGTTGCTTAAAAACCAGGTTGCTGGGTACGATATATTTTTGGCCTTCTCACCACATCTTTCTGCTGCATTTCCAGCAAACTTACACCTTTGTTTTCCCCCCTTCCAATCAACCAGCTACACAAGGACTTACTCAGATCCAAGATACTTCAATCTCATGACCTTTGCAACTGTCAAGGTAAAAATTCAGTGATTTTTGTTTCCTGCAATGCGACTACAAGAATTATTAGTTGAAGCGTAACTTTACCAATCAATCGTTCTATTTTGCAGGGTGGAGGCCATACGGCTCCTGAATACAAGCCCCCCGAATGTTTTGCCATGTTTCAAAGATGGATTACAGGCAAACAACTCTAATGATGCAACTTCTCTGGGCGGGAGATTGATCAACGTCTTGATTCTATAAATGTATTTGATGTTATGGCATCATGCTTAATTGTAATAAACAATGAACGAACCTTGATTATCAAGGATAACGATGATGGAATGATATGAATGAATGCAGAGTTCCAAAGGTAAGAGTGGATTAATTTTACGCCACGGGGCAAGTAAAATTGCAACAACATGATTGAGAGGCAGTAAAAATGATATGTATTTGAAAGAAGTGTTGAACGTTAATTGATTTTCATATCTTGGCAAAGTAGAATGGCTATTCTTCCATCAGGTCAACATTCAACTTCAACCTTCTTCCATAACTTTTCATTCAATGGGGCACTAACATTTATTTAACATTTATTTAATATTCGATTCATAGGTCGGCGTAGTAATAGGGTAGCCCATTTGGTGGCTAGGAAGGCCCTTTCTCTGTACCCTACCATGAGTCATTTGTTTGATTTTCAGACCTGCCTGATTTCCAGGGTGTAACTTTCTTTCTTGAATCAATAGAAGATTATCTTTTTTTTTAAAAAAAAAAAAACATTTATTTAACATGTAAACTTCAATCTCAGTTGCTTACTGATGCTGCCAAACCTTCTCCCACCTCAGTTGTAAACATGGAGGCTTGAAGATCTCCCATACATAACATAAGTTGTCGTAAACAAAATTTTGCAGCAAAGCCTGCTCTTAAACCCAGCACAGCAAATTACTCTTTCGTCATCACACACTATTTCACTTCGCAGGGCAACACGAACCCCACACATTCTGATACTTAAGTTTCCTTCTCATTTGATTTTCCTTCCCTCCTGTGAACTTTGCTACTCAATATTGCTCGACTGTTCAGGCCAAATTCCAACTAAGGAGTCTTGTACTTCTTCATGGAAACAACCTCTTTCTTTCAATTAAGGTTCTACAAAGAATATGAGAAGGGCTTAAGCAAAGTTCTCATCAAAATCCAGTAAAATGTTTCCCCCAAATGTATGATAGAATGATGATGAGTTGATAACTTTTAACATTTTTCACTACTGTTTGTGGTGGTCAATCACAGTAGCCATCTGCAACCCCTAAATAGAGACCTAAGTTATTAAGCATGGACTGAAATGAAGATAAATCCATGGCCTTATAAAATTAAAGGAAATCTTGAGAAACAAAATGTAAACCAATCAGCATATTAAAACGATCATCAAAGCTTAGAAGAACAACCGGAACAACTGCAACCAACAGCATCGGAACCGCATCTGAAGTTTACAAAACACAGTTGCTGTTGGTGATATTGTTGCTGGTGCATGCTTTTGTTTCAAACAATTTTCTCTGCACAGCTTCAATTGAGTGTTCAAGTGAAAACTCTAACCTGAGAATCTAATAGAAAGAATTAGTAAGAAGCAATAACAATACAGGCTTCCAATCGGTAAGCCACAAAGCAAAGGTTACCAATTTGTGGGATCTTAGCTTGGACTCTACAATATATTTATCTACATAGAATAATATAACTGTCCGTCACCAACTAAGCTCCTCCAGAAAATCAAAAGTTATATAAGCAAGTTCGGTTTCAATTTTGCCATGTGCAGATATATTATGCTATTGTATAGTTATTAAGTTTCAATTTTTGACCCATAACCCAAAGGTAAAAACAATTAATTGAGAAGAATCACACACATTTGGAGGAATTAAAAGTAGGAGAGCCAACATCGAACTTAATAATTTGATCTGGATTACAAAGCACACAAATATAGAAAAATAAAGTGTACCTTTTCTGTTGCGCAAATGCATCTTATGTGCTGTGCAAATACATGTCCTTGCTTTAACCCTACAGACAACTTTATTTCTTTAAGGCCATCGCTGGAATGCTGAGAGTGCAGCAGCAACAGGTGTGTGTGGAATCAAAATGGCAACTCCATTTAAATTTACCTTCTGTGCTGCACAAATGAAACTTATGTGCTGCAAGAACAAATTCAGACAACCATTCGCTTCAAGAACAACTGGAAAAAGAAAACCCAATGTCAGAAGAGATGCAGGCATTTGACACATAGTAGCAAGTCAGATTAGCTTGGAGAGAATATTGTTTGATTTCAACACCTGGGATTATCTTGATGGCAAATCTTCGAGCACCTTCAATGGCTTCAAGGAACAAACTCAATAGAGCCGAGAAGATATCAGCTCAACAGTAAGCAGGGAAAGCTACAATAGAGTCAAGAAGATGAAAGCAGAGGAAGAGGTTGTGTGTGCTATGCGTCATGGAATGAGACTGTGTTTTGGTTCCTGAGTGCTCAAGGAAGAGGAAAATAAAAGATTATGAAAGTCGAGTGAGAAACATGAAAGTAAATGGATTCCCACCAGTGACTGGGAAGCAGAGAGACGAAACCCACCAGCTCATCCATCCACAACGTCGCAAAATCGGGAAATCCATCCCCGCGCTTTGGGTTGCCAGCAATCCATGTATGCAGAAGGCGCAATTTTAGTACCGGAGCATCGTCGGTCCACGCTAGTTTGGAGAGGACGGTGTAATTCATGGTGGGTTGGGTAGAGGATGACATTGCAGCGCGATGGGAACTCAATGCAGAGGAGGCTGGGAGACGGGACTAAGATGCGCCTTGCCGTCCACTGTAAGAGAAGAAATTGGGAGCACTCCGATTCTGAATCCGAAAAAAATGGTAAGCGAGAGTTCAATGGAGAGGAAATTGGGGAATGGGGGAGTAAGGCTCGCCTGGACGAAAATTGGAAGAGAAAACGCAAACCCCGCACGGATTCCGAGTCCGGAAGATGGACAGGGAGCATGATTATTGGCGTGTGGGAGGAGTTAGCCAGTCGGAGAAGCAACCCGTAGAGGGGGGCTGACAAAAGGAGTTGTCCATCCTCGGAATTGGGGAAAAAGTAGAGTCTGAACTGCTATGAACGAAGGAGGTGAGGGAAATGGGAGGAAACTCAGGTAGCGTTTGTCTAAGATATGGAAGCAAAAGGAAGCTAGGAAACGACAAAATAATATACAGTAACATTGCATTTTGGCCGATAAAGTGTACCCACCTTTTATGTTTTAAAGAATGGCCTGTTGGCTTACGCTTCATGGCGAGTGGAGATAGCAATGTAAATGTGTTGAATAAATGATGTAGTAACTGTTTCAGAAGACATAATTGCAAAAGCAACAAAAAAAAATTACTAAAGTGTTGTGCGAGAGATCCATAGTAATTGTAAGGAATATGAACGGTGTGTTTGTATTAACGTATAGAAGGGGTATTTATACCCACCGATGTACAATTTTACATATGGTATAAGGAAACACAATTATACATGATTGTGGAAACTGACTAATAGAAGGATAAAGACTTATCCCTAATATGCCCCCGTAAGATGGAGGCGGCCTCAGCTAGCCCAATTTGGAATCTAACAAGAAATACCAAGTAGCTGGTAAGGGCTCTGCGAGACAGTAGGAAGATATCAGACTTGGAGTTGGCGAGCTTGAACCAGCTGATGCACAAAATGATAGTCAAGAGCAAGTTGTTTCATACGAGTAAGACACTGGATTTGAGCTGAAGTTGACTGCACCCAGGTTGTCACAGAATAGGATCGGCGCGGCAAGAAGAGACTGTTGCAGTTTGGTCAACAGGTTGCAAATCCATTGTACTTCAGAAGTGGCAAGAGCAATGACCCGGTACTCGGCTTCAATGCTGGAACGAGCAACTGTCCTGTGTTTATTGGACTTTCAGGAGATCAACATATCGCCAAGATAGATAAGGAAACCAAATGTGAAGGTTGATTTGGGCCTAATTGTACACTTTTTATCCTTGATTCTCTTCGACATCTGTTGCAATTGAACTCCAAAAAGGTTGGTTTTACGCGAGGTTGCTTGTGTTTCAGTGTGTTTCGGATCCTAACAGGTAAAACCAAACCCGGAGTCGAAAGTTGGAAGAAAAGGAGCAAAGACCGGGCAAAGAGGTGGAGACAGCCAATGTTCACGGCCAGACGTTGGAGTTCACGGTCTCACAAGACCGTGAACTGAGGAGCGAACAGAGAGGGTTTGCAGGTTACTAATGCCCAGGCTGTTCACGGTCGCTAAGACCATGAACAGTGGCCACTTACCGTGAACCCGAGCCATTGAAGCGATGCGTTTTGGTCTCTGCACTGAGTTCACGAACGCGTTTCAATGTTCACGACCGTGAACTTAGGCCATGAACTGGGCGCGATCTCAACTTAAAAGGCCAGCTGAAAGGAGAAAGAAAGCAGAGACCTAGTGTGAGAAACTTCTCCTTCTTCAGATTTTAGAGTGAGAAAGTGACAAACCAAAGAAGAGGAAAAGCTAGGGTTTCATCTCCAGGCAAGGTTTTGGTAATTACTTTCCCAAAGGAGGATTTCTTCAACACAAGGAGCAAGGATTGCATCTTCTTGATGGTTTCCCTTTCCCTCTCTTGTGTTTTCCCTTCTCCTAGCATGGAGTAGTCCCTTCTTTCACTTGGATGTTTGCAAACTCTAGCTACAATTATGTAAATACTTGTATGAATTGAATGATTTGTGTGTGGTTGTGTTTTAATGTGAATGTGGAGGTATTATTCAGGAATGATTGTGTTGTGTGAAATCCTATCAATCTAATTGCCATTCTAACCTAGCTTAAAGAGGAGACCTCCTTAGGTTAGGAGCCTCAATTTAAGATGGGTGTTCTTGGGCATTTCATGCCTCCTGGGCTAGTTTAGAGAGGAAACCTCCTTAGGTTAAGAGGCTCAATATTGAGATGGGCGTTCTTTGGCATTTCATGCCTCCTAGACTAGTTTAGAGAAGAAACCTCCTTTACCCAAAGGGGCTCGATTCGAGTCGGGTTTCCTTGGGCATTCAATGCCTCATAAACTAGTTTAGAGAGAACCCTCCTTAAGTTAAGAGGCTCATTTCGAGATGGGTTCCTTGGTCATTCAATGCCTCCTAAGCTAGTTTAGAGAGAACCCTTAGGTTAAGGAGGGTTTCCTTGGGCATTTTATGCATCCTATTCTAGGTTAGTTAAAGGGCAAACCTCCTAGTTCGCATTAGCACTTAGGGTTTGGTTGTGGGTGGTTGTCCGAACTCCAATTCGAGGGTGAAGTTTAACCAATCCTTAGTTGATAGGTTGAGAGGGTCGCATTAGTGGCTTGGAGCGTATCCCATTCCCCAACCTAGAGGCTAAGAGGGTGGCTTTGGCTGGTTGTTAGGATGCCCTGCCTAGCTATGGATTAGTTCTCCTTCTCACTTGGGTATTGTGAACCCTAGTCTAAGAGATGTGATAGGTTGTATGCATTGAATGTTATGTGTGTGGGTTTGTGTTTAATGCAATGTTTGAGATATTTTCAGAATTCTTGAGTATTGTTCTTCATATCTCATACTAGGTCAAATTGACCTAAGTGGAGGAAATCCCCTTTCAGAGGCTTTAAGAAGCTGGATTTCTTGATCATTTGTGTCACCCTCCAAGGGCTTTAAGAAGCTGGATTTCCTTGGCTAATCCTCTAAGAGAGTGGAGTTTCTCCACTAGTTGCAACCTCCTCAAGGTGTATGAGCACACCTTTTACATAATAGCATTCCTTTCAGTCAATCTTGATACAAGGTTAGGGGGAGCAATACCCGTGTGAAGTCTTCTCTTATTGAAACCACCTCAATTTACCTTCTTCGCTTATTTACAACTATAGATCTTTAGCTTTTACTTCAAACCGTTTCTTAAAAAACAATTTAAGCGATTGAAGTAGGAGTACATGGACCTCCTCGGGTTGACAATTAAAACGCTTGTCCTATACTACACCCTTCTAAAATTTGCACTTGACATTTAGTCGGGATTAAATTGTGTAGTTAGGAACGAGTTATAACTATCCCCGCTAAACAAAACAACCAAGGTCTCAGCTTACTTTATCATGGAAGATCTCAATGTGTAGGTCGATCGGCTATGCTTGTGATCCTGCATCATTACATCTCATTTCTTCTCGTCTTAACCCCATTTGCACATACTTTACAAAGAATTGCTCCTCGTAGAGGTCCCAAATTGCATTCTGTTGGGACTAAAAGCGCTTCCCAGAAAGCCGAGGACTAATGCTCTTACCAGAAAGCAGAAGGACTAATGCGCTTCCCAGGAAGCCGAAGACTTAAACGCTTCCCAGGAAGCCGAAAGATTGATGCGCTTCCCAGGAAGCCGAAGACTTAAGCGCTTCCCAAAAAGCCAAAATAGTTAAGCGCTTCCCTGAAAGCCAAAGACTTAGTGCGCTTCCCAGGAAGCGAAGAGGGATTGTGCTTCCCAAGAAGCGAAGGAGCGATGCGCTTCCCAGGAAGCCGGGGAGCGATGCGCTTCTCAGGAAGCCGAGGGAGCGATGCGCTTCCTAGGGAGCGATGCGCTTCCCAGGAAGCGAACAAGCAATGCGCTTCCCAGGAAGTCGGAGACTTAAGCGCTTCCCAGAAAGCCAATGACTAACGCGTTTTCCAGGAAATTGAGGACTAAAGCGCTTCCCAGGAAGCCGAAGGAGTGATGCGCTTCCCAGGAAGCCTAAGGAGCAAAGCGCTTCCCAGAAAGCGAAGGAGCAATGCACTTCCCAGGAAGCGAAGGAGCAAAGCGCTTCCCAAGAAGCCGAAGGACTAATGCGCTTCCTTGGAAGCGAAGGAGCAATGCGTTTCTCCGGAAGCGAAGCAGAAGCATACCCCAGGAAGCCGAAGAAACACTAAGCTTTCCAAAAAGCTGAAAGACTAATGCTCTTCTCAAAAGGCGAAGTACTAAGCTTCCCAGAATAGAATAGTTGATCTCGCCTCACACAAGTAAGACATTAACAAGACACATGACTTCCTGACAACATGGACGCGACATTGGTGAGACACAAAACAAGAGCGTCTTGAGTTAAAACTCTCAAGCCGTGGGGGCCACCCTACCTAGGTCGCAATTATGGTCTACTAGCGCTAACAACAATGGACTAGCGAAGGAACTCTTAACGACTTGAGAGCTTTGGTTCAAGACATCGAAAGCCAAGCAAGGGACAAAGGAAATGATCACGCAACTCGCACAAGGTGCAAATCGCATCATCCGGATTCGTAAGTAATGCAAATTAATACACGATTAACGCATTATGTTACTCCTTCCATTCTTACAGAATACCAGAAGTAAAGGGGCAATTGTTGGGATATGGATTAATATGCCTACACGACTATAAACGGGGCCAAGTCCACGATAAGGCGTCCCGGGCCCAAGCCCACTTAAGGAAGCCCAAGCTCTATATAAGGAGGCCCAAGCCTCCAAGCCAATGATCCTCTCTTCCCTTCCCACACTCTTAGCCTAAGGTCTCTCTCTAAACTCTCTCTCTACATACCATAAACCGCTTCCTATATCATACTAACTTGGGCGTCGGAGCGTAGATCCCGGGGGCCGCCCCGCCTCACAGGTTCTTCCACTCCTGAGGAGATCGGACGAAGGAGTCCAAATCAGAGCCCCATAACCGCCTAGTACATTCTAGGCCCAAACACATTCCATTAGCTAATTAATATGATAACATCCCAATGGCCATTACCCATTCACTTTAATCTCGTCAAAATCCCTCCCTACGTTTGCTAGTTGAAATTAGAACTCCAACTTCCCCAGTTAAAATAATAGACACCTGCAAACCATCGTTTCTATAGTAATTAGTTTCCGTTTGGTTCAATGCCGGCCTAATTCTTAAATTCCTATACGAGTTTCGATAATTTCCACGCCATCGATTTCTCAAAAGCTCCCCTTAAACACTACTGAGACCTGACCCTTAACCAAATACTTAAAAAGTCCATAATTAACCATCCAATTAATAATAACCTCAGCAACACAATAATAAGCAATCACCTTCCCCGTGAGTATTGTCATTGACAAACAATCCCAAAGCTTTCCTTCATATACATCTTACCATTGTTGCTAACTTAATTGCCATCCAGCTTGATCCATGGCATTGTGTCCTCGTACCGGTACTGCTTTAACCGCAACATCCGCCATAGCATTGCTTGGGTTGGGTCGCCGGAATACCCTTATGCGCTGCGGCCGGCGATGAGTAGTTCCTCCGGCCGTCCTTCCATGGCCCGTCCCGGCGTCCATCGTCGCTAGCTCTCCAAGTCGTCGCCTCCGAAAGTATTCGATTAGTATAAGTTATTACAAAAATCAAGGATGTGTTTCCTACTTTGAAAAAAATTGTAAAATACATTCAGTGTCTATAATGTTTAATAAGTTTCTCTTGATATATCCTACTAGACAAAGGTAGTCTGGAATTGGGTTTAATGGTTCGGTTTTGGAAATAATTGGGGACTTAATAGTGGTTTACTATTATATTTCATTTAAAATATAAAAACAAATTAGTCTAACGGAAAACATGTATACTAAGAGTAGCAGTGTCGCAAATTCAAATCACACCGACTCTCATTTAAATTTTTTCTTTACCCATACGTAAATTACTATAGGGGTTGAATAATCATTTTTCAAATTTTAGAAGTGACTCACTATCACTTAAATATTTTTTTTTTTTACTCTTACGCAAACTACTTATCAAAGGGTGGAATGTTGAGGACTTTTTCCAGAAATACTATTAAAAATAAAAAAAATCCAAAAATACCATCCATTTTCGAAATTTTTAAAAAATAAAACCAAGCGATTTTCGAAAAATGGTGGTATTTTTTTTAAAATGTCAAAAATTGGTGATATTTTTAAAATTTTGTCCTTTTTAGTGATACTTCTGGTAAAAAAACCGAATGTTGACATTATAATATAGGAGGCTCAAAATTTCAGAGCTTTCGGCTGTCCCCGATCTTATCTGTAGGTCCCTCGTGCGGAACATGTGCATCATTTATTCTTTCTAGTTCCCAGAATAATTGATGGATAAACAGCAAGAAACTTTGGACTTGTGAACGAACCCAAACCATGAGGCGATCATCATTTCCTCTTCTTCTTCACCTCTTCTTACTAAGCTGCTGCTTCCCATGGCTTCCCTTGTCCGCCTCACAATCAGCAGTAGAATACCTTCCAGGCTTTGATGGACCCCTGCCTTTCTATTTCGAAACTGGGTATGTAACAAACAAACAAAAAATTGTTCTTTAATTTGTTTTAATCCACCGTTTTCCACTTTGGCCTGGACTGGAGAAACCAGTTTAAGGGGATGCTCTGTTTCCTTTGCTTTTAAAACATTGAGCACATTGAAGGTATGTGGGCGTGGGAGAATCGGAGGACGTGCAGCTGTTCTACTACTTTGTCAAGTCGCAGGGGAAACCTGAAACGGACCCTCTTCTGCTTTGGCTCACCGGCGGCCCCGGCTGCTCTGCCTTGTCTGGCCTCTTCCATGAAATCGGTACAACAACACTTACTTCCTTTCTCTTCTTCGGTTTCCTGTTTGCAGAGTCACTGCTGAAATGTTCTAGCGGTTAGAAAGCGGTATAAAATTCCAGCCTACCTTCTCCCAACAATTCGAGTTATTGGGACCAACTGGTTCTTCGCATTAACAATCGTTTGGAACTCTGTTTCCTCGTCAGGTCCAATCCATTTCAAGCTGGAGGAATACAATGGGAAACTGCCTTCGTTGATCCTTAATCCCGACGCATGGACACAGGTGACACAAAGCTACTGGAACCTTGTTGTTGTTGATCAACCATTTCTTGTTTCCCCGTTGAATCATCAACCGTTTACAGGTGGCAAGTATCATTTTCGTGGATCTTCCTGTTTTGACGGGATTCTCCTATGCAAGAACAGAGGCTGCCGCTCTATCCAGTGACAACTTAGAAATTGATCAAGCTGTGGAATTTCTTAGGAAGGTAAACAAGGACTTCCATTGTCATTGTTAGGAGGAGTTGATTTAATCTCTTCTAACTTTGTTCCATAATTACCATCACTGATATTAGTAAGAATCGATGCAGTGGCTAAAAGAGCATGGAGAGTTCAAATCGAATCCAGTTTACATCGGTGGGGACTCCTACGCTGGCATTCCTGTCCCAGGCATAGCTCTTCGAATCTCCGATGGTAATTTGCAAACTTTACATCGGTAACATAATCGAACTCTTCAAGTTTGCTATGTATCGAAACGTTATCATCTCGAAATCTTGTCCCAAATAAGCAGAGAATGAACAAGGAATCGAACCAGCGATCAATCTCGAGGGTTATTTGGTTGGTAACGGCCGTGCTAATGCGACCATCGAAGATAATTCCAAGATCAAATTCGCTCATGGAATGGCTCTCATTTCGGATGAGCTTTACGAGGTTTCTATCATCGACCGTTTACATATTACAATTGTATGAAACAACGAAAGTTTTGTTTGTTATACTTTTGCTATATAATTTGGTGCAGTCGTTGAGAAGAAGTTGCGGTGGAGAATACTACAACGTAGATCCTGGCAACTCCGAGTGCCTCAAACATGTTCGAGAATTTGAAAAGGTACCTACCGAAACCCCCCACCATCACAGTTCGTCGTAAGATTCCAACTTTGAATTTGAATCAAACTAGTCACTAATTGGCTGGGGATATCTTGTTCAGTGTACATCAGGACTCGAATCAGCGCAAATTTTGTTACCCAAGTGCACTTATGCTTCACCAAAGCCACCAAGAAGATCAATGTCTCTTGAAGAGTTGTTGGAATTGGAGGCAGAGTCACTTCCTAGACTTGGCTGTCCTGTATGTAAAACGCTCTTTTAACCTTCACTTCACTTGCAAACTTGTAGACTTTTTCTCCCCTTCTTTGCGACTTATACATATTTTAGGGTTTATGTTCTTCGTGCAGACTTTTGCATACCTGTTGTCCAAGTACTGGGCCAATGATGAATCCGTCCAGAGTGCTCTCCACGTTAGAAAGGTGTGTGTCACTATCACTACCCTGTTCTTGGTTTGGATTGAAACCCTGAGAGGGAGACTGCGTTGATTTTTCAATCAACAAGGATAAGTGCATTGATTTTTCGCGGCCTGCTAGTCAAATTGACTGCATATGATCCACGACATAATAGCGTCTGCTGATGTAGGAGATAAGGGACATACTAATCCAGTAATAATGACTGCATAATAGTTCTACATATTACTTCAAGTTCATGCTTTAAATGCCAAATCCAGAACAGTGTCAAGAGGTTGTTACTCAGATTGCTGGTTTGGGTGTGGCGAGATGCAGGGAACAATAGGGACGTGGGAGAGATGCAGTTCAAGGTTGCATTATACGACTGATGTCGCTAGCAGTACCGAGTTCCATCTGCAACTCTCAAGAAAGGGTTATCGCTCCCTAATCTACAGGTTCGGAACATCACTATACCTTCTTCTTACTCTGATACCATCACAATCGATGATACTAATGGAGCCTTTGGTTCTGGTTGGGAAACAGTGGGGATCATGACATGTTGGTACCCTACGTCGGAACCCTGGAGTGGATCCGAAGTCTGAATTTCAGGATAGTCGAGGAATGGAGACCGTGGTTGCTTAACAACCAGGTTGCTGGGTACGAATTATTGGCCTTCTCCCCTTATCTTCGTACCCACATCTTTCTGCTGCATTTCCAGCAAAACTTAAAAACTTTTTTTCTTCTTCCAATCAACCAGATACACAAGGACTTACTCTGATCCAAGATACTACAATCTCATGACGTTTGCAACTGTCAAGGTAAAACCAAGTGATTCTGCTTCCTTCAATTCTACCACGAGCCATTAGTCGAAACATCACTCTACCAATCAATCATCGATTTCGCAGGGTGCAGGACACACGGCTCCCGAATACAAGCCCCCCGAATGTTTTGCAATGTTCAAAAGATGGATTACAGGCAAACCACTCTAATTGATCGAGTCTCGATTCATGGCTAAGAGCTACGCTATTTCACTTTCCTTCTCATGTCAAGTACCCATTTCAACCAATGATTTGGTTAACTGGTTTTGGTTTGGTGTACATGCTTAATTGTAATAAACAATGAACCAACCTTGATTAGCAAGGATGACAATGAGGAATAATGCCATTATCCGCGATTATGAAAGGATATGAAAGAATGCAGAGTTCCAAAGGTGACATTGAGTGGATTAATTCATCTTTGATAGTTATAGTTTGTGTTGATTTGGTCAATCTTGGTTGCTCTATTTTGAATTCACCTACCAGAATGCTAAAAGAAAAACAGCAGCAGTATACAAATATATGCTCATGAAAAGAGGACGGGGCATTTAAATTGCTTCATTAACGAAATACGAGCAGTCAAAATTAACAGAAAGGCAACGGACGCATCTTACAAAACAATCTGGTCTTTAGGGGTGCTCTGTTTACCTTCTATTTCTGTATCAACTTCAGCCACTGCCACTGTCAAGGCTAGCTGAACCCTAATTCAGAACTACGCCAGCACAGACGCTCTTTTCCCTGCAGGAAAGTTTCTGAAGTTCTGGAAAGGGACTAGTCTTCAGCAAACTTGATCTTCTTTGGAGCCTGCAACACTTCACCTACCTGCAAAAATTGGGTTCAGAACACTTTTCTGACTTCCTAGACCAACAGATGAATAACCATTGGCAGAGACTGATTCCTGGTTTACTAATTTTATTACCGTCATTCAGTTATGGTCAAGTTCAATAATGTCCAAGTTCCCAATTACAGAGCTTTTCTAACCAAAGATTTTACTTTCACCCTCATGAGTCCACGCCCACAAATCAAAATCAATTACAGCCAAAACTTCCCAAGCAGTAAGATCTACAACTAACCATTCACTGCATGGCATCTTGTAATGAAAGATATAAAGATACAGCAGAACATGCAATATGACATGAGAATTATATTCACTTCGCATGTTGGGATCTTGAACATATGATGATAGACTATTTTCAGAAGTAATACCACAAGGAAACAAGATTCTTACAATTTCAGGGCAGACATAATCAAGCCCAGCAGCTTCTATGCTTCTTTGGCGCTTCTTACTCTGCTTCATAATCTTTTGCACCATTTTTTTGTGCTCGTCGAGAGTTCTCTCCTGCAATGACGCAACAAAATGCAGATTCAAGAATCACCACATTGAACTACTAAAAGGATTCAAAAATTCGTTCTCAATGAGTGACAAGAAGAACCAGGAACTCAGTATCAACTGGTATCCATAGTCCTACCTTGTTCTGCCTCCTGCGTTGAATCTTGACTCTGTCCACCGGTCGGTACTTAAAGTAACCCCGCCACCTACAGCAGAAGAGAGACAGCATGGAAAGAGTCAGCAAGCTATGTGACAGAACCAACTACAAAACTAATTAAACATTACAAAGAGATTGGCTAGAGTAGACATGGAGTTTACAGTTTCGGATGAACTTGCTCCTGTGGGATAAGGTGGACTTGCAGAAGATGCTCAAACAGAAGATAATTATGCATACAATCAGCTACAATTGCGGCTACCTACAACCAAACCATCGTCAGATAAAGCAACACAGACAACATAGTACTAGCAATCTGGTATTTACTTATTTAAAAGACAAGACAACCCAACCTCAGGATCTTCAAATTCAAGGAATCCATAGTGCTTAGATTTTCCAGTCTGTAAAGCAAGAAGTCAGATCAGCGATCCATAACTAACTATAAAACCACCATGTCACAACCAAATTATGCATAGTCTGATTCAGGAGTGAGCTTTTTAGAGTAAGAAGATTCCCCAGAAAGTAAAGTTACTGAAACAACTATACCATCTATACAACAATTCACCACACAAGAAAATAATCAACACAAACAGTTGAGAGATCATACCTTCCTGTTCCTGACAACTCTCAATCTCTTAATCTTCCCAAATTGTGAAAAGTAAGCTGTCAGAGAAAACAAGCAACAGTTTTAGCTCACAACCACTCCAAAAAGCTGCCAATCAAATTACACAACTTTCTCATACAAAGAGATTCCACCTTCCATTTCGCTCTCATAAAAACCATGAGGGATCCGACCAATGTACAGTACGGTAGCCTTGGCAGTACTTCCTTCCGCCTGCTTGCCTTCTGGTATCTTTCGCCCTTTTCCACCTTCTAAAGGCTTGAAGAGAGACATGCGGCCCAACAGTCATCAGAAAACGAGCAAGCAGTTCACAAATTGGAATAAAAATGAAAGCTCAAGACGGGAACCCTACCAAGTAATCGGCAGCAGCTGCTGCTTCATTCTTCTCGGCGGCTTGGGATGCAGCCGCTACCTTCTTCAGTTTAGTTTTCAGAGCTTTCTTCGCCTTTGCGCCCATTTTTCTGTGCTAAGAGCGAAGGATGCGTTTTTCCAATAGAAGAACTCGAAGTCGGAACAAATAACCACTTAACCAGAGAAGGAGGCCGAGAGAAGGGGAAGCAAAACCTTTGGTACAATTTTGGTTGGAATTCGATTTTCTATCCGGTGACTCCAAAACCCTAATTTGCGTAGCCGCGGGAAGCGGTGAGATATGGGCACAAAATTGGAGGGTTGAGGCCTAAGGGACAAGATTGGCATAGTTTGGCCCACAAAATTGAACACTGGGCCTAGCACGCAATATTGAAGCTCGTCTGATCAGAACGTCTAAGGCTAAATTACATGTTTGATCACTCAAAGTACATAAAATCTTTCACGTTTGTCATTCGAATTAATTTTTTTTTTATTTGCCACTAACTTTACGAATCATTTCACCGTTAGTCACTGACCGTTAGTCTCCATTAACTCCATTAGTTTTTTGATGATGTGACAACGAAACTACTGACTGAACCGTTAAATTAATGACATGTCAATTTAAACAAAACATATAAAAATAAAAATTATCAAACTAACGAAACAGTGTTTCTCTAGTAGAGATATCACACGTGTGAAGTGTCTCTCCTGTTCGGGGAGGGTCTCAACGCTTCTCTGCTGAATCATCATCCTAGCCTGCCTACCGCCGCCGGATGCGGGATGGTTCCTCTTCACCAGGGACCGATCAGATTGCAAAAAATGGGAAAGAGAAAGATTGGTGCAAAATGGTTCTTTGTTCTCTGCATCAAAAACGTTCATTGCCATGTGGGAATCGAGATATGTATGGTCTTTCATTGGATTTAAACTTTCCTCCTCTTCTCGAACTGTCGTCGTAGCTGACATCATTGCAAGGAATCGAATTGAAAGAGAAAGTGATGGAAGAGAGATTGAGGTCAAGATTGAATTAGAAAATGAAATCTATTTGTTGTCAGTCATGGCCGCAGATATCTTCCCCGCTGGAGAAGATCTCCTACTTCCCGCCCTCGGCTGCTTTATCGTGACGTCCTCGTCGTTGCAGTCGACATCGTGATCTCTTCCAGCTCTGAATTCGGCGGCGAGTCGGCAGGAGGATTAACCGGGGAGTAAGCATTGGTGGGTGGGCTTGGGACGAGGGGTTTCGAAGGGGAAAGCGAAGAAGATGAGGGAGGGGAAGGTGGGCCACTCCTATGCTTGATTTTGTATTTTATTTTTTTTATTTTAAAAATTGACATGGCATTAAGTTAACGGTTTAGTCAGCAGTTTTGTTTGCAACATCATCAAAAAAATGACGGAGTTGACGAAATCTAACGGAGACTAGCGGTCGGTGACTAATGGTTAAATGATTCGTAAAGTTAGTGGTAAACAAGAAAAAAATTAATTTGGGTGGCAAACGTGAAAGATTTACGTAATTTGAGTGACCAAATGTATAATTTAGCCGAACGTCTAATTAGCTTTTGTTTTTGGGTTAATATCCTAGTTTGTAACAGACGAGGAATACAAGTTACCTCTGACTTAGGGATATACCTTGTGGTCCAGTGATTCATGGTTGCATTACTAAGACAACAAGTAAATACATTCTTGATATGATCGATAAAAAAATTGACCATTTGAAAAGCCAGAACTTTGTCCCTTGCTAGTAGAGTTACCCTAGTTGTTTGTCCTCGATGCTCACCGTACTTATGCAATGCAGACCATCTTTTTTGCCTGCATCCATATGTGACTCTATAGATAGTAAAGTTAGAGACTTTGTGTGGGGATCTAGAGAAGGGAAAAGGAAGTCCCACCTTGTTAATCATGCCATCATTAACATTGTTGAGGAGGAGAAGGACTCTTTGGTGGCTGAATGGACAACAGAGAAAGGTGAGTGGAACTGGGAAAAACTCAGAATGTATCTCCTTAATGATATTCTCTCGGTCATTGCAGGTGTGGAAGCCCCTGATCCTAAGCTGGGAGTAGGGGTGGTTATACGTTCCGGTCCGATGAAATTGGCCGAATTGATCCGGTCTCGGTTCGGTCTTTTCGAGAATATGAAGACCACAGACGGGATTGGATACATTCAGGTCTTGATCCGGTCTGGTCCGGTCCCAATCCTGTCTTGATTTTAGATTGATCATGTGGGGGTTTGAGTGGGTTGACCCCTGAAAGAAGGAGGAATTGGTTTGGTTTTGGGTGTTGGGCTCTCTTATTCAGTCTTTATCCGGTTTCCGGTCCGGGCCAAAATTGTTTTTTTACTTCAAATCTAAGCCCAAAAACGAAATTGGATTCTTTATTATCCCGTCCCGATCCGATCTCGATCCGTGTTATACGGTCTGGTTTCGGGTAAAACCAAAAAACCGAATCAAATAGCCACCCCTAACTGGGAGAGAATGCTACCTACTTGGGCCTGGAGCAGGATGGCAGGTTTAAGCTTACAATCTTGCCGCTGACATGGAGGAGAAGGAAACAAATGAAAAGTGCAAAGAGCTCTGAAAATTGAGTAGTATTTGAGTTGCTAATTATTAAGATTTTCTATTATTTTATATGCATATATATTTTGGATATTTAGTTAGAATCAGTCAAATAAGTAGTAAGAAAAGTATCCCCAATCTCTAATCCTCTAATACATGCATTTGAAATACTCGCATTTGAAATACATTTATTCAAATATGAGACAGAAGGTAACTCAAAACATGCATACCGGTGAACTCAAATTCAGAGTTGCAGAACAAATTAGCAGTGAACAAATATAGTACCTCCAGAACACAAATTCTACCTGTGACTTCAACTATGTCACACCTGGAACAAGTTCTGTTGCTGGGAGTATGGGGAAAAAACCCCTTCAATAGAGTTTCAGATAGACTGGTTGGCAAACTTAAAATGGAAGGAAATTACTTTTCAGGATCGGGACCTAAGAAAAGAATGCGTGAGTGCATTCAGGATAAAAATGATGACTGCAACAACTTCATGAAAAATTATGAAATCACAAAATAGGACGCGTAACTTAACCTAGCTTTGCCCATCCTTGAGATACAATAAGGTGGTTCACTCACCTGTTAGATTCGCCAATTCTACGGTGGAGAGTCTTAAATCCTTGACACAAACATTGATCTAAGAGAGAACACCCTTGGTATTTGTCATGGTCTTGCTCCTAGTAGTTTCACTAGAAAGGTGTATTATGAAAAAATTCGAAGTAAGAAATCATAAAGATGGGCAATTAGCAAACACAGTGTATCAAACTATAGCCAGGAAAGGTCCTAACAAAGATACAACAAAAACTTAATAGAAAACCAACGTTGTAATGATAAACACACTGCAATCTTTATCTGATTGTGCATTTATACTTAAAAATAGGGGTGGGTGTGGTTACCCGCCCCACATTTTGTGGGTAACCACATCCACAAAAATAGAATTATGCTACCCACAACCCGCCCCACTGTGGGTTGGTGCGAGTTGGATGTGGATACCCACAAAAATTTACGTTCCTTCACCCTTCGGACTTGTATATGATAAACCTATCGGTCAAGTGACGGCAAAAATACACACATTGAGTTAAAACTAAGTAAAGAAGTCCAAGACATGGAACGAGCAAGGATCCGATATTCGGAACCTCCTAAGTAGTCAACCTCCCTTTCCTCCGTTCACTTCACTCGCTTACAGGTCACTTCACTTTCGTTAGGAAATGCAAATTGATAACGAGTATGAGTTGGAGAGGATCTAATCGAAATACACATAGCATCTTTATCAGCGGCATGACCCCTTTGGTTTTTATTTGAATTTTTTAGGGATTAATGGAATTCTCTCCCGAGTTGCGGAATTAGCATCTTCTTACACAAAAACAAAAACTTACATAAAAGAAAGTTAATAAAGTGTTAAATAAACTATAAACCACATTTATTGACTTTGTTTTGTTAAAATAAACACATACCATGTGGATGTGGACAACGCTTATTTAATAAAAATAGCTCATATGAACACGGTGTATTGACTTGGTTTTGTTTTATAAAATAAGTACATATTTGATTTTGGAGCCTACTATAATTTGTAGCATTCTAGTTTTCATATAATTTAATATTACAAAGTATTATTCATAAATAAATATATTTAGTATGGTTATTGTGGGTTAACCGCTGTGGATAGTGGTTAACCACTAACCACAAAAATCAATATTTTGCTACCCACACCCAACCCATTATCCACAAACTGTGGGTATGGTTATCCACAAAGTACGTTGTGTGGTGCGGTTTGCGGATTATCCGCAAACCAAACTTCCACCCCTACTTAAAATGTATCATTTCGCAGCACAGTCGCCACTCGCCACTTCAGCTTGATATGCAAGTAGCTCCTGTAATCAACACACAGATTAGTTCTTTCCAGTCTTTTGATGAAGATAATATTTACAAATTTGTTCAAGAGTTTAGCCTCGAGATTTTGAAGACTATGAGATGCATTCTTTGAATATGAGCTATGATATTATCCCGCTCATGTGGTTCATAGTAAGGAATATGAATTTTCTTCCCTTGCAAAAATACTAGATAAGCTAGCGGAAACAAGTACGGACACAATATACATTGGTTTATCAATTGATTTGTCAAATGTTGACCTTGCTCATTTGAACCACCACCATGGAGAGAACATTTTTTCAGCAATGAAACATGTAAAACCGATTTTCGCAACAAAATTAGCAATGAATTTTTCGTTGATTGCTTAAATATTTCTTTGCCAGAGAGTATGCAATTGGTATAGATGGGTATCTATTAATAATAGATTTGCTACCATAACATAAAACTAAAAAAATCAGTTTGTGCCATAAAGAAATTTGTACAAGAAGGTATAAGTACAAAACAAATGTGTACAATAACGTTAAATATACAAGTTAAATTTGTACTATACAGTTCTTTTTCTTTTACAAAAGATATAAGTACAAACTAAACTTGTATCATACTTTTAAAGGTACTAATTCAATTTGTACCATAAGAGATTTTTTTAAAAACCAAATCGCTGATACTATAAAAATTATTGTAAAATTTTTTATGTAAAGATTTTTTTTATTATTATATTTTGGTGATCATTTTGTGGGACACTAAAACTGATAAGTATAAAGTAAGGAGAAATCAAACAAACAAGCTTTCATAGCTCAGTTGGTTAGAGCACCCGTTTAGTAAGCGGGAGGTCTTGAGTTCAACTCTCAATGAAAGCATTTGAATTAATTTTTTTTCCCTCATTCCCCCGCCAAAACCCAGATGAACCGAAACAATTCCATTCCATATCCAGTTACTACTTGGATGGAACCCCTAACAACCATTCAAGTCCCGCCATTTCAAGTAAACAAGGCCAGCCTGGTAATGAGTAAACGCAGCAGCCACAACCAGAACATGAAACAGCTGGTGACTTTGGCCGGCGAGATCGAAACATCCAGGCTTCCATCTCTCGGGGACCCTCGTCGCATAGATCAGAGCCCCCAACCCATACAGAACCCCCATCAGAACCTCGTAAACGGTCGTCTGCAGGGCCTCAGGGTGGTGGGTCCCATACAGGATCAACTTGTGAAGTATGGGCACGACCCCGGAGACCCCCATCCCGAAGAACAGCGAGGCCCGGAAGCTCCTGAACTCGGGCCTCTGGAACGTCGGGAGCAACGAGAAGATCATTGTGACGATCCCCATCACTGTGATGGCACCCAGGTAGAGGTTGCAGAGCAAGGGGTTGCACATGAAGGAGTAGTAGACAGGCGGGTAGAATGAGGTGGCAATGAGCAAGGCGATTCCTGTATAATCGACACGGTGGACTATGTAGGACATGCGCTGGGAGTGGCAGGAGAAGAGGTGGCAGATGCTGCTGGATAGTAGGCAGAACATTGCTCCTCCCATGAATATGTAGAATGGCCATCTTGTGATTGCTGGCTGCGGGGATAGTAGGGGACCCAACAGCAAGTTGCTCAATGATTCTTCCTCTTTGCCACCTCCTTGCTGCAAGTTTTGTTTGCATTAAGATGTTTGAGATTAGCATTCCACAAAGTTGCAGGCCACTGCTGACATTCAAAGTTCACATAAGAGGTTGCTTCGACAGTATAATATGAGCCAACTCTCCCTGGACATTTCTAACTTTTTTCCATTTTCAATTGAAATTCTATCAGCATCATCTCAACAGTACATTATGCTTCTATAACATTGCACACATTTCAAGTTCTATGGAGTTCCATAGTCTGCCACGGTGCCACCGAAGAAAACCCCTTTATGGTGTATGATCCCTAGGGAGAAAGTACAGCTCCAGAGATCCTGAGGCTAAATGCAAAGTTTGACACAAGTGTAGATGAAATCAGCACTCAGCATGAGTGTTTAGTTCAATGTGTGGCTCCGAATTGTGTTATTTATTTGACTACTAGCTCAAACTGGAAAACCTCAGCTCCAGAGATCGTGATTCATGAGACAACCTAATCAGTTGCTAATGCAGTTATGCAGAGAGTAACTATTCATACTTGTGCAGCCTTCAGGAGTTCTGATATTCCTTTAATGGAGATGATTCATATACAGAATAAGATTAATCATTAGAAGACAATTCATTGCCTACATGAAGAGGGCACAACTAACCTTCATTTCAAAAGCATATTGGTACCCGAAAAAGTTGCTTTAGCATGTACCCAATGAAGCAAAGATCAGTGGATGAAAAAGTAAAGAAGGAAATACCTCGAGGATGGAGTCGTTAGACTGATGAAGTTGGAGGAACCGTTTAGGGAGGCAATTGTTGAGAACATCCACAAGGCTAAGATTGGTAAAGGAAGCCTGGAGATCTTCCCTCAACCTATGAAGATCATGCATGTTTGGAAAAGAAGACAAGCACCCAATTAACTCCTTGTACAGCTCCCCGGAAGACGACCGGAGCAAATCCGGCAGCCGGTGCAGCGAATTGAGATCCACTATCTCCGGCGCCTTCTTCGCCGTGTATATCGTCAGGAACAGAAACAGAAAGAACCCCATCAAATGCCTGCAATAAAATTGAAGTTCAAAATTGAAAACCCAGAGAGAGGAATGAAATCAGAACGTGATTACTGATCTGCGCTGATTAAATTACGTCCAGATATTGAGGGTTTCGTTGTGGATGCGGAAGACGCTGAGGAGGAGCTGGGTGATGGGCCATTCCGCTCTGTAGTAGCGATGGATGTACTCGTTGTCCTTCATGTAACCAGGCAGCGCGTGGTAGTCCACGAGCTGGTACTTCACCTTCTTCCACACGCTGCTCTTCTTCTTCTTCTTCTTCTCTTCTCCATCTCCATCTCCATCGGGCTTCTCCGAACCCAGCTTCTCATACCCATCTCCCGTCATCCTATTTCCCCCCCCCCCCCCCCCCCCCCCCCCCCCAAAAAAAAAACGAATACTCTGTTTTTCTTTGAGAAATATAGGCTGAAAATGGATAAAATTTATTATGGGTAGCAGAAAAGAGAGGTTTTTTGGAGGGGGGGTGGGGGGGGGGGCGATGGTTTTGATGAGAATTGAGAAAGAGTCGACAACGCCTTACAATTGAACTAGCTTGTTACTCGGTCCGTTGGCCGGATTACTGTATGTTACCCACTTATGGAATGGGAGAGAAAGCAAGTGAGAGTGAAGGGATTGGGATTCCACTTGATTAGGACCGGCCCACTAATCCGATTCTTCCCGACCCGCCCCAACCTAAAGGGTCAGAAAGAGCCAATAAGAAAATACGAACGGAGAGAATTAGTAATATATCTTGACTCTTCAGAAGTGGGTCAAACAGGATAAAGGTTGGGTGAGGGCAATTTTTAGCGCTAAGCAGAGTTCTGGGTTGAATAACTTTACCTAGGACTTGAAATTGGTGCTGATGCAGACTGCAGTTTTTATCATACCATCATCAATCATCATTGAATTAGTCCTGGGCATCCCTCCCCGTTGTCGGTCTGAATTTTAATGATGGCTTCATTCCTTGCACCAGCCATATCAGCGAGTTGTCATCTCGAGCATGATTTGCCTATGTACAAATGATACAGTTAGAGTATGAAACTGAATTCAAAGAAAAGGAAAAGAGAATTCTATCACATGCCAATAAATACACACATAATAGTTGAAGCTAAGTGAAAGTCATTACTCGCACATCAATTCTCAAAAATTACAGACTAAATAATGGCTAGAATGGCACTGAAACTACCAAGAATCATGGACGAAACAACTTGTCAAATTAAATAATCCTTATACTGAAACTACCTTCTAACTTGAAATAAGACATGTTCACAGTTCATAGCACTCTTATCACTATGAATTGGTTGCAGCTCGTCCTTATCACTACCTCCCAAGCTCAATTCAAACAGAATAGACACAGTTATGTAAGATAACCATATCCTTACTGATCATAATTCCTTTCTTCACTCCATTTTTGTCGGAGAAAAGAGTTATCCCCCTCTCATGCATTTCCCTTTCCCCCTCTCTTCTCCCTCTTCTTCACAAACCGATCCCTAAACCAGCAACAACAACACAAAATAGCCTTCGCCTCTGCCATCTCCATCTACTGAACGCGTTGGTGGCAAGACAGGATTGCAGAAGCAAAATTTTCTAAAATCAAACTAAATTTTTTGAAGGAGACTCAACCACGAAAAAAGAGTAAAACAACAATGCTAATAGTTCAGATGGTTGGTTTTGATGTTATACGTTGCTTTTGTTATGGTCTCCAATGTATCAACTGCAACAGAGATGTTTCCTCCAATCATCTTTAGTGCATGATTTAAAAGTAAGTCCTCTTGTTTGTGTCAAACGGAAACATTCATGGGTTCTTAACTCCCCTGTTAGTGTAAATGCATCAGCAGCAAAGAATCCCAGTACATACCTTTTAAAATGGTCATGGTTCGAATCCCAGTACATACCTTTTAATGAATAAAAAAAAGTAATTGTGAAGACCAAAATGTCCTTCCTACTTTCACTCTCGTTGCAGGAAATTTGAAATGGGGATCCCGTTTTTCCCTTCGGTGTATTATATTATGTGTAGATTGAGTTATTGATGAATTGGTGAATAAATATCTGGTGAATAAATATCCGGTCCGTTGTGTGTTTTTTAGATTGACTGAACGCAGAAAGCTTCGGAAACAGCTCATCATATATAAGGGGAGGGCCTGTAGCACAGTTTTAATTAAGACCTCCTTGCCGGCTTTGGATAATAACTTTTCCTTCCATCCCTGCAGCCTACTCGCAACGCGCTCTACCAAAGTTTGGAAGACCGTGGTGCGCCTCCGACCGAGGACAGACGGCAAGCCCAAATAACGCCCCAAGTCACCCGTGGAAGTGACGCCTAGAAAAGACGTAATAGTAGATTGCAAAGCAGGAGGGACGTTGCCACTGAAGACGATTGCTGACTTTGACAAGTTCATTTTCTGACCAGAGGCCTCCTCATAACAGGTCAATAATTGTTGAACGACCTGGCACTCCATCACCGAAGCCCTGAGAAATAACAGACTATCGTCAGCAAATAGGAGATGCGAAATAGCGGGAGCAGTACGTGCAACTCGCACCCCATGAATTCGCCCCGCCGCCATGGCACCTTGTAGAAGAGAAGAAAAAGAATGCCCAATCTCTCTCATGTCGGATATCGGTTGTATATCGCATATCCGCTCTTGTCGAAAAGAGGTTGCGCGACTACTTAAGTCTGGCAGAAGACCAATGACGGACACGGAAACTCTACGCCCCCTAGCAGAAGTCATTCCCTGTCTCCTTCCCCTTCCGAGCATTAGCAGCCTATCGAGCAGGAAACACAGGGCCAGACAATGCAGTCAAAAGCACGATTTTACCTAGAAGCGAAAAAGGGGTAAAATCGTAAAGCGTAGAATCGAAGCGTAAAAGCGTAAGTTTTTGAGGCATCCTGTAAAATAGCTAAAAATTTGCTAAGTACGACATGTGTTGTATAAAATGTTAGTGTATAAATTATATAGAAGTGAATAACTACCTGCAATAAATCATGATTGATATCATCTTAAACATAAGTTGATAAACATACATCATAAGCAACTCATAAACGACATAGTCACACATATATCATCTTAAAAATCCAACAAGCTGGTTTAAGTTTACATAATGACACAAGTTTAATAATCCAAATTCTTGAAATTGAAATGAAAGCACACAAAAGTTCGAAATGATAGAAAGAAAACTACAGTAAATCATCGCATTCAACATTGGCATCCAATTCATCATTATCATCATCGTCATCGCCATCATCAAGTGGATTATCAAATCCACGGTCACCATCAACGCGAATAGCATCACCACCATCACCATCAACATGAATAGCATCATCACCTCCATCCTCACCAATAGAAATAGTAGGACCAATTTCAACAGCATGATGACCTTCCTCACCACCATCAACTCCTAAAGCTTCAGCTTGTGATGTTTCTTCTTCGGTGTCACTACCACAAATCCATTCATTCTCGGAGTCTATATCCTCAAAATCAATTTCAAGCCTTGCTTTCTTGACATTACTTCCCACCAACTTGTTGTTGCACATGACATACACAAGATCATTCATCTTTTGTGTTTGAAGGCTGTTCTTTTTCTTAGTATGAATCTAAAAAAAATGTTAACATGTAAAAATAATGAATGACAAACAAACCAAACTTGTAAACTTTTAACCAACAAACATGATAATTGATATCATTTAAAGAAAGTAGAGGCAATTTGTTACTTACCCTCTCAAATGCACTCCAATTGCGCTCACACCCAGAAGCACTACAAGTCAAACTCAACAATCGGATGGCAAATTTTTGAAGCTCTGGCACTTCATCTCCAAATGAAGTCCACCAATCAGCAGGATGATGCCTATCCTTTAAGGTCATTGCACCATATTTGTCAAACATGCCTTGAGCATGATGAAATACATGCAATTGTTCCATAATCTTAAACTTCTCTTCATCATCCTTTGCAACTCTACTCACACATTCATACAAAGCTATTTTCACCTTTGGATCATTATAGTTAAATCCCATACCATGAGAATGGTGAATTTGGGGATTCAACCAATATGCAGCATAGTGAAAGGGCCTACTCATTTTATCTTCCCAACTTTTGTCAATTATCTTCAAGATAGGTTTATATCTACATAAAAGACAATAAATTCACAACTTAAAATAATAAAAAACATAGAGCTTTGTTTCATAATATAATAAGAATACTAAGTTTGAAAAATTACCTTTGCATGGATCATCTCAAAGTATAAGAAAGGCATTGCTGGTTTTTCATCAGAATCAACCAAGCGTAGAACCTTGACTAGAGGTTGAGAAGCTCTAAGGCAAATTGACACATCTTGCCAAAATATGCCATCAAGTACTATCGCTTGAACTCTTTTCCCTTCCCGAAGCTTAGCAAAGCCGCTCTTCCTCCACTTGTCAGAAGAGAACATTCTCATCAAGGAACCTTTGTTGTCATGGAGAGATGCCAAGGTCAAATATGATGTAGCGAATCTAGTAACTGCAGGTCTAACCAAATCTTTCCCTTCAGTGAACCCTCTCATCATGGCAATCAACATTGTTCTGACATAAATAAATTTTGTGATCTTTTTACCCTTCCCAATTGTAGTCTTGTGCACCTTAATATTCTTCTCAAAATCCTCCAACATCAAATCCAAGCAATGGGCTGCACATGGTGTCCAAAACAAATGCTTCCTCTTCTCCATCAACATTTGTCCTGCCGCCTTATAAGCTGAAGCATTATCTGTCACAATTTGAACAACATTCTCTTCTCCAACCTTCTCAACAACTTTATCCAACATCTCAAACACCTTCTCAACAGTCTTTGAAATCTCAGAAGTGTCAACAGCCTCAAGAAATACAGTTCCACGAGGACTATTAACCAAAAAGTTACAAAGAACTCTTCTTTTCTTATCTGTCCATCCATCAGACATTATAGTGCAACCCACCGCCTTCCATTCAGATTTAAACACCTCCAATTTACTCTCGACTTCCTTCAATTCTTCTTTCAGATAAGTCTCCCTAATCTCATGATATGAAGGAGTTTTAAAATCAGGACCATGTCGAGCTACATCTTCCCACATCTGGTTATATTTAGAACTTCTAGTTGCATTGAATGCAAGTGCATTTTCATACCACCATTGTGATATTGTCTTGCAAGCCTTTTCTCGGAGATCTTTCTTCAAAAGTGCACTTATTGTTTTTTGTTTACTAGTGCCACTGCCTTCAGCCACATTTGAATGAACTGAATCTCGATTAGGAACATCACTATCATCAACATTCCCACGAAGACCGAGATCATGCAGCTTCCTTGTCTTAGCCTCCTTCCCTTCTTCATTCAGATGGAGTAGCTCTAGCATT